TATATATATATATATATATAAAATTCAAAACGAAATATATTGTTATATTCTTGCAACATTTTTCTTTATCCTTAAGAAAAAAGGTCCTGAACTTTTGGGTAACTTGAGAAGGTTTTTAAGTTTAATGGAAATGTCTCTGGTTCCATTGACAAATCTGTGCATTGTTCTGTGTTCTTATAAAAAGTTTAAAGGAAAAAATGTGGAGCCATCTTTGAGAAAATATGTTGAAAGAACTTTAGCTTTAATAATGGTGTAGAAGAGGTTAAAAAAGTTGAACTTTTGAAATTTTCAAAACTGAAAGTGGTTATTTAATTGGTGTGCAAAAGGAGGTTTTAGGAAACATATGAGATTCATGTAAATTACCTCTTAAAACTAAAATATTCCTTTTTAAATTTGCAGGGTCTCATTTTGAGCAACATCAATTCAAAAATGTGCATTTTTGAAAAATTCATGTGAATGGTTTACATGCTAGTTGTTGGCATTGTTAAAATTTTGCATCACTTCAATATTTTTTAAATTTTTGTACTCATTCTGAATATTATTATATTACCACATCGCCAAGATTATACTGATCCATTTAAGACCAAGAAAGAATCATTTAATTCAGGGTCTGTTTTCGAATGTTATTGCTCAACATAATCATCAACAACAACAACAAAAAAACATACACAATTACAAATAGAATAACCTCCTCCTTTTAAAGTCTGTTAATTAGAACACTTACATAATTGTATTGAGAAGGTTGTGGATATTCACAAGGGAAACATTCCATATAACTTATTCCATTATTGTCAGCTGTACATTCACATTTTTGACAAGGGTAAGGATCTGCAGTTTGTGCTACACGTTTTGCAAACACTGTAACGAATTTCTTAACCACATTTTTCTTGTCTCCTTGAAGGCGTTTTGCAGTGAACACAGTGCCTGTTGAAAGAGGGGGTATTTGTAAAATAATATTGCAAAATTTGGGGAAGTATATTGATTAGGGAAAAAAAAAAAATTGCTATTCTCTTTTCTTCATTCCGTTATGTTTGCATACATACCATTTGTCTCCAGAGCCAGTGCTGTACAGACTCCAAGTTTTGACTTCGGAAGAAGAACTTGTCTCTTTAAATCAGAATCACCTTTCAGATCTTTGATATCTTTATTTGTATAGGCATTATCTCTATCCATTCCTGAAACATGAATTCCATTCTTGAAAATTTAAAATTGTTTTTCATTTTAGCTTTTTGTGTTTTTGACCAGTGGAAAATATGTTTGTTGTACAACTTGCTTGTTTTACAACACCTCATGTACCTTTTTATTTAAGCCCAAAGGAGAGAGATTAAATAAATTCTACTGCTTGAACTTTTAAATATCTAGTGAATTTTCTTAAGGTTGGCCTGTTGTTTTCATTTCTAATTTTCAATAAAGTGTTCGCAAAAGTTGCTTTGAAATTTTAACTTAAAATTATTCTGCAATGTTTGGAAAGTTGTAATGGTGTGATTCTCTTGAGATTCCCTCCAACAACGAAAGTAATAATTTAAAAATTATTTTGCGAATTTTTAGTTTTTATTCTAATAATCGGGATTGATGTAGTATGTATTTTTAACTTTATCAAAACAAAGTGCTATAATTTATAGTTTCTTGGTTTCTGAAAAATATTTACATATGTTTATTACATTGTTGTATTGTTAATACTTAAAAGAAGTTAAGTAATAAGGTATAATTAAAAGAAAATATGTTCATAAGAGGTATCGTAATTATTAAATATATATTAGAAATACAACCTTGCCATGTGTGTGATGCAATTTTTATTTATAAATGGAGGTTATGTTTAAGAAATATGTATTGGCTGCAACACCAAGGTTACCTATTTGTCATTTTTGTTTTTTCACAGATTTTGTAATGATAAGAAGTGGGCATGTTCAGTCGTTCCAAAAGAAACCTTGTTTTAGAAAAGTACATGAGAAACTTTCTAGAATATTTGGATCTCTAAATATCATTTGTTTCATATGATTTATGCCACTGTTATGACATACATTGCACCGTGTTATAGTGTCTGTAGTTTTAAACACATACCATAAAAGTTCTTTTGTGCTTTTTGTTTCTGAAATCTGAATTCATCATTCATTAGAATATGTAGCTGTATTCCTCGTTCTAATAAAACTTGATGAAGAACACTGTAATCAAGCTGAAACAGAATATTTTACATAAGTTATTCATATAATATAAATTTATGTACAGTAGAAAGTTTATTCCAAAATAACTAGAGCAAATTGCTCTGGAAGTCCTTCTCCTATCACAAGTAAAGATAAACATACTGTCATGTTTCCTGGATTGCAGTTGGAGCAAGGTATAAGAATAAATGTTTTTGAAACACCAGGTCTGAAAACTAATTGAGCAGCAAAGCGAATTGCCCCAAATATGTCTTTGTCTCCTGAACCTGTGGACAGAATTTTATTTTTCAGATTGTACCCTGAACAAAATTAAATGCATAAATTCATAGATTCATACTCATTAGTTGAACATATATTACACTATTTGTAATTGTAATACCTGTTGGAATGTTTTCAAAATATTGCAATATTTCTTCAGGTGTGGTGAACACATTGTTGTTTAAAACTACACTTCTTGGTTGATTGTATACACCATCTCCACCAAATACTACTACAGAATATCTGTAAATAATTTTTAAATGTTTTAACAATTTTTTTGAAGTGTTCAGTTTTGCTAAATATTACATGTGTATTAATGGTTCATACCTATTTGATGTAAAACCAGCTCCTGTAAGCTCTTTGCTAAGAGATGTAAGGAGTGCATCCAAGCTTCGTTCTGTTGTGATATTTGAATTACAGCTTCCTGCTTCAACTATGAAAACAACATCAGTTGATTTTGGTACTTCATTACCTTCAAGCTGTCGGAAATCACCTTCTGGTACTTCCATATCAGGAACAAGAATTCTGCACCTATATTAAATGTACAATTATGTAAACTGATTGCAATGAGTGAGTTATAATTGAAGTTTATTAAAAAATGTGTTGGTCATTAGGTAGAACGTACTTTACACAAGATTCTGGAATTCTTAAAGGCGTGTTTTCGATAGTGCAGGCTTGCATATATGCTACTGCAACAGTACATGGATCCTTATCAGCAGAATCTCTGCTGTTTAAACACATATTCAAGAAAGGAGTGGAGTCAACCTGGTAAAAGACAAATTGCTCATTTATTCATTTTACTTGTACATAATATACAGGTTTACCTTGACAATATTTGTTGAATATTTGTCAACAGAACAAAGCACAAACAAAATATGTATTGTAATATTTATACTTTTAATCACTTCTATCTTCATAATAGGTTGTAAACTTGTAGATAATTTCCAGAAGAGGAAATCTTTTCAAACATACCCTGGAGAAACAGGAACTGAATTGAGAAGACTTCATTTTGAAAAATTCATTACATTTGGTTACTAAAGCATCTTCAGGTGTTTGTTTCATAACAGCAAAGTTTTTAGTAGAAGAACAGGTTTCACGGTTTAATGCCCAGCTCTGTGCAAATTTTCCAATGTCTTTTTCCAGAATCTTTTGAGGGGTTAGGAAATCACTTGTCGGTTCATTATCCATTGTACCAAGCAAACCAGCTGTCTTGCCAAAATACCATCCTAGAAATTTCACAATGCATTACACATGTATGTATGAACAAACATTTAAGAAAAGTGTTTTATTTTAATTAAGAAAGAATATACCTGATAAACTTATCACACACACATCAAATTTCATATTACACTGTATTTTGAATCCTTTCTCACTTTCTACAGTGACAATTGATGCCTCTTGATAGATAAATGTATCCCCAATTTCAATTGGCAACATCTTGTTTTCACCTCTTTCTATTGTTACTTCCTAAGGGACCATAATAAAAAAAGAATATTTTGTAGAGAAGAAAAGTATGAAATGAAGAGCTGTGTAAAATAGCCAATACTTACATCATTGAAAATATCGATGTGGATGATCTCTTTACCTATGATTACCGAGATAACATGTTCACCCTTTTTAACATCATATGATATAGCCAGTGAAAAATTTCTGTCCACAAAATCTGAAGCTAAAAGGTAAGAACAAGAGCCCTGGAACTCATAGAATGATCTGTCAAAAGTCATGAAATGCTGAGGACCTGCGATGATAGCTTGACCTATAATAATACAAAACATTATATTGACTGTAAATGTAAAAATTTGTAGCATGCTATATAAAGAGGTACTAACCACTAAATGGTGGTAGCCAATTAGAAGGCTCTGTGTAAGGTTTATATTCATAGTAGAGTGTCCAGAATGTTATATTTGATGAAACAAAATAATTTTGTAAGTCGTTTATTGCTTTATATTCAGGAATTTCCTAAAATGAAAAATTATAATTGGTATTTTATAAAACAAATGCATGTAATGAAATATTTTAAAATGTTTAATGTGGTATATGTTAAACATATTTTTATTATTTATTCCCTCGTTTCCAAGATTTCTGCTAAAGAATGCATTGCGAGACCATACCTCAAATCTTGGAGTTTCATTGAAGGCATGCCAAGACATTGGTAATTTTTGCTCAAGAATCACTAATCCATTATCAGGATCAAATATAAACAATGTTTTTGCTTCTCGATACCTATATCAAAGAATATAATGAACACACAAATAATCATAATTACACCATGTTAGCAAGGAACTATTAAAACTGAATTTAATACCTGTTCTCTGCTTGTAAGGCTGTTTGAGTTATATCAGTTATCTTGAGATGAACTAATGTAATGGCTTTCTGGATTCTTGTGCCAAGATCCAAATAATTATACACCCAAACAATCTGCAAAAGAATGTAAAATAATGTATTATGAGTTATTTGTAATTATTTCACTTATTGCTATTGGAGTTCTTCATACCTTTTCATATAGTTCATTTGATTTTTCTATAGCATAATTAATTGAAGGTAATTTTTGGAGTACTTTCAATTCTGAGATAATTTCATTAGCAATATCTTCAAGTTCTTTACCTAAACAAAAAAATGTTTTTAGTGATACATTGTAATATCATGTTCTCCTCCCACTTGGTCATCTTCAGTATTTTGTAATTCCTGTGGCAGCATGAAACAAAATTAAAAGAGAAAGGTTACTCCTCTAAAATTTAATAATGTAATTTAGAATTGTAATGAGAACAGTGCTCCCTACAAATACCCTTGCAATCAGAATTGCTATTATTTGCATGAGCATAGTATGATAAAGCAACATCAGTTGGACTGTGAAATATAATTATTGTTGCTCAGTCAACTTCTCCATGGCAATATTCTGGTTTTTGCAAAAGTCAACCCTATGATGACTTTGAGATCTGGTGAATACATTACTTAAGAGTGTCATTGACATTGAAAAAAAGATTTCTAACTGAAATATTCTTTGAAGCTGGAAGGGTAGGCTAATTAGTGTGGCAAATTTGATAGTGCTGCTGGAGATCCTCAAAGAAAATATGGTCCTTTTGTTAGGGCATTTTCCGTTATTTTTTAATAATGTCATCTGTACATTGTATAGTTTTTATTTTCACTGAGAGATCCCAATTTTTAATAAAATATGTGTAATAGTATTATTGTTTTATAATAGATTTTTGTGACAGTTAACTGAAAGCCCCCTAGACGTCAATCATGCATTAATGAAGATGGCAATGGCAATGTAACAAACACTCAAGAAATAAGGTTTAGTGTCTAACAACTGATGAGATCCTCAACATTGTCTTCTAGAGTGGGGTAGTGAGAGGGCAGCATTAGCAACTTGACGCAGGCTAAGAAAAAATTATCTTCATTCGAAAAGAGGAGGACGACACTTTGTTGGGAATCCTACTGTGGATCTACTGCCCATGGCTTCTTCTTTTCTGGATGTCCCTACTACAAGGTCATCTTCAGCTATTTTATTCCCCAATACAATTCTTCACTGACTTCCACTTTCTTAAACACAAATTTAGGTAATCTAATACTTCTCCAACTGACAGGCAATAACATTATTAATTAGCTCTCAAAATGTTCGATATTGCCCTAAAACTTGATGAATTTTCAGGGGATTTGTGGAGGCAAAGTTCCATCAATCCTAGCCATCGGATCGATCGTATGTCGATATCACTTTTCTGATGCAGCTGCACATTCTTGCTACTTTGACCAGCCAGAGGAAAGATCTGAATTGAATAGTGCAGACCAAACTTTTTAAGGGAGTGATTAGTTCAAAGAACATACGAACAATATTTGATAATTGAATTCCTCATCGCCCCTTTGCATTTACTTTTGGCTTCCTCGTCTTCTTCACTCTAGTCTTCATCATTGCCTTTATTTCCGTCTTTATCTCATGTTTATCATCTTTGTTTTTGTAGTTTTCAGCTTCATTATTGATGCCTTTGTTGTCAGCTTCATCGTCTTTATCATCTCCAACTTTGTTGCCTTTGTCTTCATCTACTTTGAGGTTTTTGTCCCAGCCCTGATCTTCTAGCAATGCAAATTAATATTACTCAGTGTAGATACAACTTTTAGTTGCAAATGAATGTTGTTTAATTTGAATAGGGTACCATCTCAAATCTTATCACTCCAAGTGCAAGGCACATTTTATCAACTTCGTCAAGCTTGAAAAAACTCTAAAATAAATTCCTTAGGTAAAACATGTACCTCAGGATCACCAAGGTGCAGTCTGCACTATTAATTCATTACAGAAATGTTCACTCATTTCAACTATGTTCTAATAATTCAATATTCAAGTTTTTATCATAATTGATAATATTATGCATTATTCATGACCAAGTGAGAAGTAGGTACTCACCGAATGGAACCATGGCGAAGTATTTATCTCTGATAAATTCATAAACTATCTTGGAGTACTTTCTGATATTAGTTATTATGTCATTTTTCATTATATCTTTATAAAACTTATCCAGATCTTGTGTAAAATTTGCAAATTTTGAGAAATATGGTGATTCCACTAGTTCAGTTTTTCGTTGGTATAAAAAGTCTGTTTGAGAAAGGAAACATTAATTAGTTATTGGCCACAACAAAAATGGCAGGGTACATGCTTATTATATGTAATATATGAATATTAACTTACCCAATACTTCTGTACTAACATTCCATACAATTGTCTCTACGTAATGTGCAATCATTACAAATGTAGGTTCTACAGTCAGAACAAAATGATTCCAGTGTTCTGTCAATAAGGCTGATGTTTTGTGCCACAGATCACTCATATACTTCACAAAAGCCACATGGAGATCCTTGATAAACTATAAAATAATGAATAATAAAAACATTATTTTGTTCTTTGCTCAAATATGTGTCAAATTTCATTATTGTAATAAATTTACCTTATCATATTTTTCTACAAGTTTAGTCATTAAGTCAGATATTTTGGATGTCAAATCTCCTCTCATGAGACTGTTTATAAAGTCCACAGCTTTCTGAAATGAGTTCTTGATCTAAAAGATAGAATGAGGAGAAATCTTTAGTTATTGTGAATTTCCACTTTATATTTTTCAAAACTCAACTTTCTGGTAAAAATTCTTACTGTATCAATAATCCAACGAAGAGATTTCAAAATAGCTTCACCTGATTCACCCATAATATCCCATATTTCTTTCACAAATGCAGGAAGAGACTCAATGTGAGCTCTGTAGAAGGAAGATTATAGAATGAAATAACATTTTGAAAAAATAGTGCAATAGTTGAAAATGTCTACAACTGATTATTATACATTTTTCATAAATATCTAAAGCAAATTAAATTACCTTATCGCCAGATCATCCACCAGTTTATTGCAGAAACCAACAATGTCTTGAACATAAAAATCATTGTTGTTGTAAGAGTCATTCAAGTAAATTTTAAACTTTTCAAAGTCATCCTTTAGACTATTTAGTTCTCTGAAAAATTAATTAATATGAGTTATAGAATTAAAATAATAATTTTATGTAATGATATAGAGGGGTTGTAGAAGTCAGTGGTAGAAATAACAGACGGTCAAAAAACAATTAATGAAAATGGTTCTGGTCGTGAAATATATTGTTTGGGGCCATTTGCAGGAAAGAAACAATTTTTGCAAATTGAAATATTTTCTTTAGTGTACTCACTCAACATCATCAAGGAATCCTTGAATTATTGGTTGTGCATCTTTCCAGATATCTTGAACTGAATCATTAATTTCTGATCTTATATAGTTTTTCCAGTATTCCACATTAGCAAAAAATCCATTCCACACTTCCTTCCCAAATGTATCAACATAGTCCTAAAAAAAAGCCAATGTTATAATTTATTGTAATAAACAAAAGTTCTTTATTGTGTGATTAGTAAGCCTCATGTAATAGGGAAATATATTTACTAAATGCCTGACCCATGAAAATAAAACAATTTAATTTATGGTGCTGTGAAATGGGAGGTGGGGGTGTGGCCTCCTGAAAAGTTTGAATGATGGTCCATGGTCTTATATAATAAAACATCTTAAAATAATAATAATGCAAATCTGATAGTCGAGATTGCAGTAGTGGTCTCATTTCTCGACTCAGGCATGGTCGTGTTGTATGTGTGTCTATTTCATCATCATAATTTTCATCACATCCCCCTGGGGTATAAAAATGTAACATGCACCTACCCCAATAATCAAGTCTGAGCCTCAGTGGGATGCACATGTCACGTGGTCCCATAAGGGCCAATTCACAAAACAAACAAAAAATGGATAATAATATTTAATTGCTTGTAGACTTACAGAAAGTATCAAGTGAAGTTTGTATAGAAATTATTTAAAATTACAGTAAGTTAATTACATTTTTTAATAACCTTCACTTACAGTTAAAATTTAATAGGATTACAGTATCTTGATAAATTAAATGTTAAAAATATATAAAACTGATTAATATAAACAATTAAATTAATTTGAGTTATAACAAGAATTAAATTCAATTACATCACTTACAGTAATAATTCAAATAGTTTACTTGATAAATTATATGATTAATAAAGTATGCAAGTGATCATAATAAGGGTTGAAAATTTTACATTTTAAACTACACAAAGTCTCATTACAGAATTAAAAATAACAATACATTACATTAGTAGATTATGATTCAATGGCTAGTAACTTACAATTAGAGTGAATAATCTTAGAGTAGTGTTTAATTATCTTCAATAATTTGAATACATTAAATATTAATAATAATTTTAAGTGCTTACAATATCCTGACATATAATTACATTTTTACATTACACTATAAGTACATTACAACATAAGTACATTGTATTATTGAAGTTATAGGTTGCTACAGAGTGGTCTCTCTTGTAATGGTACAAGGTTTCTAATTACAGAAAAGTGGAAGCAATTTAGATATCTTACATGGACATTCGCTAATGAGGGATTTATAAATCACTTGAGGCCTTTGGCGATGGGAGGGGGTCATGGCGAATCTCTCCTAATATACGTGGGGGAGAGGGCGGTGTCGCCAAATATCATGTTTGTTTTTGTTTTTTTGCAACAAACAGTGCTTAATAGGAAGAAAACTGAGGCAAGTTAAGTAAAACACATTTCTATACTAAAATATGGCCCAATCTTGCACAATAATTTTTATCATAGTTATGTGAATGCTACAATAAGTAGCAACACTTACTGAGAAAAATAATCTAACAAAAATTACCAAACTTTTTATTATTAATGAGATAAATATCATTGCCTATACTTTTACAGAAATTTTAAGAAAAATTACTGAGAATGAATTATGACACTGTTTTTAGAAGTGCAATAATATTCATTGTAATTCAGTCTCTATTTTCTTAAAAATAGAGATCCCATTGCCTAATAAAAGAAGGTAACACACGAAAGCTCTAGGCCTTTTGAGGGGAACGTGTCCCCCCCCCTCAAATCTGCCACTGATTACGTGACTTAACTTAAAGGTTTTGGGTGAGACCACAATCAAAAAGGAATTCTAGAACATTTTTATTGATTAATGAAGGAAAGAATTTACCGGCAACAGCAGTAAAATTGCTTAGACCAGCATATGGGGGAATATTGGTAGCAGAAGTCAATGTAATTGATCAAATAATTAACAAAACCATTACTCGATATGCAATTGAAACAAAAGATTTAGGATACAGTGATCACAATGCACAAATTCTTACCATTATAAGAAATGCGAACACTGACACAATAAATAATACAGATATTAGTATATTATTTACTAAAAGTAAAATGAAATTATTCATCAATTACTTGCTGCATGAGTCATGGAACGCGGTCTACAATACTGTTGATACAAACGATAAATACAATTCATTTATTTCAATTTTTCAATGCTTTCTTTTCATTTTTAAAACACGTGCTTTCCTCTTCAAAAGAAAAAATTAAATATTTCATGGAAAAGCAACTCTTGGATAACACAAGGGATTAGGACATCATTAGAAACAAACGAATTCTTTCTTTCATTTCTAAGCATAACGTATCTCCAGGTTTCCTCCTCTACTTTATAAAATTCAAATTATTGTAGAGAATGTTGTTTAAAACTATAACGTGCGCAGATCATCGTCTCCCCCATGCGTCGCATACAGTTTTTACTTCCTTTTTTTTTTTTACCAGATAAATATTATCTAATCTGTCTGCAATGAGAACTAATCCTCTGTTATGTACGGTTATGTATGTATGTAGAATAGGATGAGTAAACTGCCGATTGCGTGAGAGTAAAATCTCTCTGAGATGTTTAGATTTTAATCATATAAGCCGAGAATACATTAGCGCGTGAGACAGATGTAAGTTGTACATGAATTGCGATATCAAACATGCTACCGAATGCAAGAGGTGTCTTTTCTACCAAAGTGCTACAAAGGCAATGTTGGTCAGACAATGAGAATCGTTCAAAGAAATCTAAACCACTGTGAAATTGGCCAGTTTGGTACAGTATTCGAGGGAATGGGAGTCAGAAGTCGCGATTGTGTAAACAATACAGAAACTGCGATGATTTATCGTGGGTATCCGACAACCGCAACAAAGCGGTAATTTGGACTCGTGGAAATTGTCCATTGCAACGAGTTATGACTCGATCCGAAGTTGGTTTCGTTTGGGTCGGAATAGAAGGAATCTACAACTACAAAGCGTCATCAAAGGCTACATTTGATGAATTTGAGCTATTCCTCGATCATTTAATCCACGTCGTCAAAGGACGTAGTCTCTCGTAATAGCGGAGGATTTCAACGCGTGGGCCATGGATTCGATAACGAATAAGAGGGGTCGAATTGTGCTAGAATCTCCTATTCTTGTACGTAGGGCTCTTTAACACAAGAACTCATTCCTTCTGCAGAGGTGGTGTGGGATCTGTGGTGGTCGAAATGTTTACGACAGGTGTTGTACACCAAGAGCGGATCCAGTCGATCATTTTGGAGGGGCCATCATAGATTTTTTTTAAATAACAAACATTTGTTATTATATTGTATATTATTTATGAAGTATGTATGTATATATATTACAATTACATAATACTAACAATACTACATGAGTATTTTAATCAATTTTGTCAAATAAAAAAAGGTACCTTACAAACGAAAACTCGAGGCCTTTTGGGAGGGGCCATATTTTTGAACAGTCTTTTTAAATATTTATAACCATATCTCCACCATACTTGGAAAGTTTCATTCTCAGATTTCCTGGTTCAGGAGCTTTGTTTGTTTTGGCCTTTTGCAACGTGATTTTCACATATTTTGCTGTTATTTCTGCCTCACATTTCCAAGAATTGTTTACATCTATTTCATATCCAAATCTACTTTCTTGTAAAAGTACAGAGTAATGATGTATCCATTATTGATTAGGAATTCTTTGTGTGACAATCTTTTTTACGTTATTTTGTCTCAAGTTCTTAATAATTTTTCAGACCTCAGTTGTACCCTATTGTTCCATTAATGTCGCTACATACTCTTCCCCAGTGTTCTTTCATTTCCTCTCTCTCTGCTGCTTTTACTTCTCGTCGTTTCTGAAAGTATTCATTTCTAGATCCTGGTGTTTTGTCATTAAGTCAACAATTATTTTGTCAACCAATCTTTTCCAGTACCATATGATGATTACTAGCACATTCAGGCCTCCTACAGACTCGCATGTTCTGTAATAAAGTTTTTCTCATCCGTCTCATCACAATCAAATCTATTATGGATTTACAGTTCCTTGTGAGGTCTTCAAAGTGTACTTGTGGATGTTTTTATGTTGAAATATGATATTGGCTACAATACATTCTTGTTCTTTGCATAAATCAATTAGCCTTTCTTCATTATCATTTAGCACCGTTTCTCCACACCGACCCATTACATCTTGTTCAGAGCATCCTACTCTACTATTGAAACCGCCCTTGATAATTAATTCCATTTGTTAATTTATGTCATCCATAATATCATTCAGCGTACTGAAAAAACTCTTTTTCGTGTGTAGAAGCATTGTCATTCATAGCATATCCAGCTATAATATTTGTTCTTTGGTTATAAAAAATTTAAATCAACAGTCTTCTCCACAACCTTTCTTTTTACTTTCTAATATTGAGCTTCATCTTTTCTATTTCAGCTATTACACCTCTCTTCCTTGGTTTCAAACCTTGTATAATCCACGTACCAACAGAGATAGTACGTTTTCAGAGCCAAAGTCGTCTGTTCACATTTTTCTTCCGAGGTTTCTGTGTAAGGTTGAATGCAATTTCAAATGATTTACAGAGAATGGGTTGCGGGCCCAACTACTTTAATCCTTCCAGAGTCAGGATTTCGGATCTTTTATTGGGGAGGCAAATTTGGGCACTATTATAAACACGAAAATATTTATGTTCATGCTTTTAGTGAATTGTGCTGTAAACGTAAACATAAGCATAGCGCATAGACATAAACGTTAACATAAGTAATAGTCTGAAGTATTCACAATGTCTAACATAAACGTAAGCAAAATAAGAGTTTCTATTGGTTGTGAGACATTTTGGTTTACTATTGGTTGGATGTGAGAATCGATTTCGAGGTATCGACTGTGTCCAAGGCCCATATGGCGTTAGTTGTTCTATCGACTTCGCTCCAATTTCGATTCTCGATTGGGTATTTCCATTCTGTGATTGGTTCATTACTTATGTCTTACTTAAGCATAAGCACAGCAGCTTGAAGCTTTTAAGTTAACGTCTTACATGTTAAGCTTATGCGAACGCATTGTGAATGAGCCCGCTTATGGACGTAGTCCTATCTTTTATGTTAACGCCATGCTCATGTTTATGTTTGCATTGTGAATGGGCCTTAATATGCGTTTTGGGGTCCCCTGATACCGAAAGAGTTTTTTTTTCAAAACGTCCGTCCGTAAAGATGTTATAAGATGACATAATTTTACTCTGTTGTTTTGTTGTTTGTTTTTCAAAATTATACTAATGTATTTTTTGATGTCTCTCGCGACGTTATTATTTACATTAGAGGTGATTTGTTCATATTATTGCATTTATGAGCACATATGCTTTAAATTATGGATAAACTCAACAGTTTTCTATGAAAATTAGCTGAAATTGCCGCATTCGCAGACAAAAACACTCAAACACCATATTCTCAAAACTATTGCATTTCTGAGTGGGAGTGCTTCAAACGGCTTCCAATAACGTTTTTCGAAATCTTAATAGTTTTGAGTGACAGCTTCAAATTTCACATTTACAACAATGCTTAAACGCCATTTTCGTAATAATTGCAAGATTGCAGGAATAAAGACAATGTTTAAAACATATTGTATTTCATTTCAAGAATTAGAACCGGTCTAGACGAACTCAAACTATTATTTAAAAGCCAAAGTTTTAGAACCGAGAATACACGAACATCTGTGTTCCACATGAGCTCTCACTTACAACTGAACCACAAAGCTACGTTGTCAAAAAAAGTTATTAAACAAGTTGTTAAAATCGTTCCTGCTATAATGTTTGCGATGTATGAAAAGATACTACGGGGTCTCATGTTATATAAACAGCTCATATCACCAACTTTACCTCTATCTGTAATGAAAGGGAAATACTATTTCTTTTTGAGAGTTAAATTTGGAATGATATGACACATGATTTTTGGCACGACTCTATTTAATTTGGAAGTAAATAACGTTTCAAAGGAAAATTAATTGCAAGAGGATTTATTAATAAGGGATGTTTACAATGCAAGAGGATTTATTAATAAGGGATGTTTACAATGCAAGAGGATTTATTAATAAGGGATGCTGAACATTATCCCGCTCGTTTTATAATACTTCACCAATTTATTAATGTACATTATTAGCTCAGCTTAATGAAATTATTTATTATTATTATTATTATTATTATTATTATTATTATTATTATTATTATTATTGTCTTACATT